AAAAATTTATATAATGGAAGATGGTAATATTACTGCATTCTGGACCTGCCCTAGTGGCAAACTGGACAGAAGAGCCTGGGCTTGAGATTTATTACAGATTTATAATGTTTATGGGTCAGAAGAGTCAGGGGGAATCAATGGAAAATTGGTCACGTATCCCATCAGAAGAATGAATAATACTCAAGGGACTTATTTGAGCTCCTAAATCCCTTCACAGTTAAAGAAAAAGACCCTAAAATCAACAGCTACCGTCCTTCAAACTTTAATTTTATTTATAATTGGTGTGCATAAATAACAAGACTATGGTGACCTGAGATGAATGTCAGGCTGTTTCAGTAATTTGCCTTCTATACAACCATGTGTATGAAGAATGTTATCTAGGTGTCCCCTAGCAGACTTTCAAAATTAATTTACAAGCATTTCTTAAAATGTGCATTTTAACTTTAATTACATATCTGAGACATGGAGTATAAAATTGTGATGTTCAATAAAATGTGTAAATGTTAAATCTCTGAGAATCAAGAGAAGCAAAAACTCATGTATTGAAATTGAAGAATACAAACAAACAAAAATTGCGACAGAATGGGCTGTATATGTTAGTCAGATGCTGCCAAAAACCTTTCCAGTATTTCTTCTAACCAAAGTAAAGAATGGGCCAGGAAACAACAAGCCAGACAATACTAATAGTTCCTATTAGTACTAATATAAATTAAAATATTATATTGCAAGTTTTACCGTTTCTATTTGAAGCTATTGAAGACTGAATGAATCAGAAGTAAAAAATCAGAGTAAGAAATTCATATTGAGCAGGAAAGTTGGGGAGAGGAAAGGCTGCTAGTCTGAAAAAAATGTTTAAACTTTTAAGAATTATAATAAGATTTTTTTTTGTCCATTGTGTAGTCAGGCAGTAATGAATGGGGATGCATTTATTGTTACAGTCCAATTTAACGCTCTATGCCTGAAACATCAGTAAAATCTGTGAAAAGTATTCATACAGATCAAAAGCACACAGTGGCTATAAATTATTTCAGTGAATACTCTTCATTTAGGTAAAATTTTTGAAGGTGCCTGAAGGCAAAAAACCTTGAGTATGTAGGCAAATAAACTAATATGTCAACTTATGTATCAAAGGGAAGTTTGTCTCTCATGGCATAGACATAGTCTGGGGCTAAATGATAGAAAATACCTTAGATCAGAATGAGGAAATCAAATGGTAATAATATTTCTGTGAGAAAATAAGGACACAATACTACTAAAGGTTAAGAACATTTTTAAGTTGCTGTATCAAAGTCTAATATTCTCATTAGATTCTCTCCACCGGTGTCATATCAAAGCTTAAGCACAAATAAAAGCTAAAGGTAAGTTTTTATTTTATTTTTTGTGTTGGGAGTTGTGTCATGGCCAGTTTTTCAGCAGGTTCTTATGGCTTCCAAACTGTCTGAGGTCTAGTACACCTGCTACAGGCAACTGAGGATGGGCACTATCTACCAACATGAGTGTATTTTTCACATTCCTACAGCAAATGTCTGACAAAAAAAATAAAGTCGTGCTATAATATTTCATATGCTTTTTTATATTTAACAGAAATCAACTCATATTTTCCACATAAACATTGTCATGTTATCTAATTTTTCCCTTGTCCCTGAGATACAATCTCAAACTGAGATTGTATCTTTTCTTAATAAGTGAGCATTAATACCTGTATCTATATATGTGTGTATCTAAATATATAATATTTATATACACATAAATATACTTATATAAATATATAAGTATATATAAGTATACTTATATAAATATATAAGTATACTAATATAAATTTATAAGTAGCTTCACAATAACTTATTTTGTCTGAGTCAAAACAAGATCAAGCAACACTGCCTAGCTTTACGGTTCATTTTGTATTTCAGTAGCATCTTTCCTGTCTTTAAAGAAATCTCTTCCTCTGAAAGGAAAAACAGATTAAGATTTTCAAGGTCTTTCTGTTGCTTCCTTTGTCATATTTCTTCAATGAACAGTTAGATCCAGTACAGTGTAGTGGGACAACCTGTACTTCATGAAACAGCCAGATCTATGGACTTTATTTCAGGATTGTTATTTTTTTATTATACAAGGTTATAGGCCAGGCACTGAAATTAAATATTTGTGTCATAAATACCTTTTGTCCCACTTTTATTTTCTGGTGTCAGGAATAACTCAAGTATTTTATTGCCATATCACCATTATACCTGAGTACACAACTCATAACCTCTGGGTAAACTTCATATCCAGCAGAACCATGTGATAATTAATAAAATTCAGTAGATGCTGAAATGCATCTATGGATATTTATTTATGACCTCTAATTGTAGGATTTCCCTTTGGGCAAGCTGGAGTACTGGAGCCATGGCAGAGGTTCTCCAGCTACCTGTTACACTTTCCATTTAGCTTCAGGGCATCGTTCCTCTACAGGTTTGCTTCTTGTGGAAAACTCCTTTCATTTAATTTCTGCCATATTGTT